CTATGTGATAAGAATCAGAATCACTGCCTTTGTCATGAAAATGGTAAGATATATATCCTTTCAAAAAAAACAAAAATGGTAAGATATATAGAAAAGTTCTTTCTGTTGTGCACCTAACATTAAGTTTCTTTTTTGTCTAAAGTTTTCTCTTCTCTTCCTCATTCCACCATAAATTTCTTGCAGTCTCTATTCTTATATATTTATTGTTTCTTAAATTTTTTTGTGTATTATTTTGCTACACTACGTATATTAGTTACCTCATGATAATGTCTTTGCTAACAGATACAATAGTAGTGGAGTTTAACCAATACCATCCAACCTCAAGATGGAGACGTACTATGATAAGCCGGAAGTACCATCCAAGACAAGGGAACGAAATCGATGGATTTTACGGCGGAATTAGAAAGCTTTCGGGTGAGGAGGAGATTGCCAAGTGGTTGAGCTTTTGGCTAAATCTACTTCTTATAGGAGTAAGGTTCCCAAACGTTAATCTTCCATAATTGCAGTGAAAGAACAAAGGTAATGGCACTAGAATTAGTCATTGGCAAGGGATGAAAAGAGCTTGTAGCCTATTCCCAAGTAATGAAATATTCCTTACTCTGGACAACTACCAAGCCAGTCTTATATTTCCTACATATTTGGAATATTTTCTGAGGATATAAGCAAGTGAAGTTGGGTCGGCAACTATAAGCTTCTTTCTATGTTGAATATGGTGACCACTCATATTCTGTACGAAACTTAAATGTATTAATATGTTTCAATGTTTAATGTTCATTTAAATTCTCTATGGGAAATTAATTTCATATAATCTACTTTCACTTTCATGGTTTGTTGCTTTATATCCCCTAACTTAGTCTGCTTTTAACATGTGAAGTTCAATTATGATCTTAAACCATCTTCAATGCTAATGTCACTATGAATGCTATACTTGACAATAAAAAGTTACAAATAACATATTTGATATGTTAGTCTATTTCGTACTTCAAGGCAGTGCATAATGTCATTTAAAACCTACATCTACTTTTTTCGTAATTATTAAGTGTTTTGGAACTTGTAAGAATAAATAGTTTGAAACTAATAATGTTGAAGAGATTAAATAAGAAGGTCAATACATCAACTAACAATTAATAGTCAAATGCTAAATTTAATACTAAAACTATCTCATAGAGTAACTTTTCTGTTCAAATACTAAATTTTGGTATTGGTACACTGGTTTAGCTCTACATTTGAAGATGCTCTTGTACTTCATTGTTTAATTGTCCACTGAATCAATAAAATTGATTAGCGACTTTTCGAATTTTACTTTTCTGACAAAAAAAAAAAAAGAATACAAAGAACAAATACTTTTTCATTTTTCTTATTCCCTAGAACATTTCTACGTATGTTGTGCAAGCTATAAGTCGTTGTATAACGACCCTTCACATACAGTTACAAGCAGTTGACTCAACTTTACAACATTCATTTCATAAAAAAATGTGGACAAGTAAATAAACTTGGAATAATGTTCTTTGCTTAAAAAAAATGTGGACAAATAAATAAACTTGGAATAATGTTCTTTACTTATAGGATAATGACTTAGAGAAATCCTAGTTTTATTTTGATATTTTGTTTTCAAAATCGAATGTCCGGCCTATAGAGACTTTAAATTCTACTAACTTATCAAAAATAAACTCCAAACCAATATTAATTAAAATCCCACGTCACAAATTAAACTTTAATGAAAAACCAAAATTAAACATCCAATAAAATTAAACATGTCACAAATGTTCCGAAAAATAGTCATCCCCACAAATTGATACATTAGATCACTCAAAATAGGTTAGTTATGAATTAATTTATAATTTTAAATAATTATATTATTCAAAAAATAATTTTGGAGCATACAGAGTGGTGGGACCACACTAGCCGATGCCCATATGATCAGGGGGTCAGGTCGGTGCTCACACTATAGGGAAATCCTTTACAATTTATATAATTTGATTTCTAATAAGTTTTTTAAGTGGGTATCTAAATTTGAATCAAATTAAGAAACATGATAAAGTTGAAAACTATCTCTTCCTGGGAGATAAGGTGACGCCAACCACAGTAATGTATTCCTGTGGTGGTTGTATTTGATAAGGATAAGAGAAATTTTGTTCCAAGATTCAAACTGGGTACTCTCTCTATAAATATGATGTATTGAGAAAACATCTTCACTTGATTTTTTTAGTAGTGGCCAAATTTCAAAAGAAAAAAAGAGAAGCAAAGATCTTCCAATTTCAAGTCCCGCTTTGCTTATGTGTTGAGATTAGTAGGAGAGAAAATTAATAAAGTGATCATTCTCATTTATTCTAAACATGTATGCATGTCAAGTTAGTTTTAATGAATCGACGAGAAATATTTGTGGGGTCAAAGAATTTAGAAGCGTTTGAGGATTTAAGATTCAAGTTATTGTCTTAATCGCTACGATTGTGTAAATAAATTATTTGATTATTTGTTTAAATATTTGTAAATTAAAAATACTTTTTTTTTAAGTTTTTTTAATACAGATCTGTTCTAATATTTCTTCTGCCGGTTTGTCGTCTAAAATCATTTCAAAAATCAATATTATTATTCTCTGCTATCAATGTTATTACGTCTGTAAAATGTCGAGCTTGGATTTCTAAATAAATCTCTGCTCATTAACAAATCAAAAGACGTAACATATGAATATGAGTCATCCAATCACTCAAGATTGAAGTCCCTCCTTAAATTGGCCATCTAATATAAATAAACTATAAGTTCTCTGTGTTTAAATAGATTTAATTAAAGAACTAGAACCGGTTTAATGTACCCCCAATATATAAGGCCTCATTCATTTCACCGATTCGAGTTTTTAGTTTTAGGTTTCTACAGTAAAAAAACTTTTAGAAAATGTCACATCTAACTTTTTCTGCTACAGTGAAAAGCTCTCAGAAAATATCACATCTCAACTCGAATTGAAAACTCAAATCCGCGAAGTGAACAAGGCCTAAGTGTCTTTATACAATAATCAACATTACAACGATCCACATTACAACATCACATAATTAGAGGCTAGAGGCTAGTGTCTAATATTGAATCCTTATGATATTTTACCCACAAATATAACAAAAAAAGTGATAATTATATGATGTATACATAAAATGTCTAAACTTTAAATAAAATAAAGTCAAAATAGAAATTACATTAGTTGCTTTAAAAGCACCATATTCCAACATAAACAATAATTCTTCCAATTCAGTGATAGGGAACTCCACAAACTTGTCAAAAATAATGTCAGCGGCTTCATTTTACCGATGGTGGCCTTTATTAATTTATACAAAAACCTTTACTTATATCTTCTGTATTTGATCAACATCTATTTAAATAAAATTAATCTAAACTAATTTAACATTTTAACTAACCACATTTTAAAACCAACATTACTAAAAATGATGAACACAATAAGCCTAAACCAAACTCATATATAAAACTAATTATCATGAATATAATTATTAATAAAAAAATAATTACCACTGTCTGATAATATTATTATTAAAATCATAGTCTAATAACATTATTACTAAAACTGTCATTTGATGACATTATTATAAATTATTAACTAACTCTAAATCAGACACGTTATTGTTAATTTGAGGATAAAAAAAAATGATCTTATGCATTTATTTTGTTACGTCAAGGAACTTGTCTGTTAATTTAAAATAATAAATAATAAAAGTAAAAGAACGTGCCTATCAAAATATTTACCTTAGTTTTGTGTGATCAATTGAGAGAGGACGTGATACCGCGGTTATGATTTATGACAAACAATTCTTATAACCAAAAGTAAGAAAGTGAGATTTAGAGGATAATTTTATATTGCCTTAAAGCATCTCTAAGGGAGTTCTCTAAATTTTAGCTAAATTTTAGCTAAAATGGCTAAAAAGCTATTTTAACTAGTAATTTTTTAGTGAGTCACTTCAACTATACTCTCTATTTTAGCTAAGTATATATTATTTTAAAATTTATTGAGTTTAAAAATATGAATACCTTTATTGAATTTTAAAAGAACATTTGCATTTATTATGATTTGAAATAATAAAATAACACAAAAAGTTAAATAATTAGTCACTTCTTGCTAGCTATATTTAGCTACTACGAAATAGATCCTCCAAAATAGCTAACCATTTAGCTAATGGTTGGAGTACAGAAAAACTAAATTCTAACTAAATCATTAGTCATTTTAACTAAAAACGTTAAATAGTTAGCATGATTGGAGTTGCTCTTAAATCTAAAATTTGTAATAATATTATACTCGCTATTATTACTTTTTGTCTTTAAATAACCGAGTCTCAATACGGTCTTAGTCTGCATAATCATATTTCCTAGGTAAAAATTTTGCCTTCTCTCTTTTCAGTTAGAACATATATATTTGACATATTGATTTTGAAATACAGTAGTGTCATAACAAAAATCTTTGAACCAAGAAATTTTCAAGAAATGATATTGACATTGGTGATCTCTATGAACATGATGACCAATTAGTTAATACTTATTTTATTTATTTATTTATTTTAAAATGTACGTATATAGTTTTCGTTACTTCCAAAACTCCGCATTGATAGCATGATCTTAAGGACATTTCTTTTCTTATTTGTTAGAATTTCATATTACTATATATACATGTACAATAGTAAAAACTGTAGAAAAGAAATTTTAAATAATTACCTATATTTGGAGAGGAAACCAATGTGAAATGGCATTGGAAGCATCACTTATACCACAACAAGGAAAACTGATCCCGAGCCTCATCTTTTTCTTGTGATGACAAATAATACTCACTAATATATTCATGTACGTCAAACACTCAACATTATCCCCGTGAAGCATTCGACAACCAATTTAAGTCTTTAAGTAGCAATATTAAGCAAAGGTTCAACAATTCGTACTTGAAATTTTCAGTTCTCTTTCTCTTCCATTCGTAGTGTGAAGGTGAGCCTTTCATTGAAAAAGAATTCGGAATGAAAGGTTTCACTTTGAAAAGGATGTCTTCTTGTTCTAGTCATGTAGAAAATGAGAAGGATGAAGAGAAGACGATTTCACTTTTAGATTTGCCTGAACTGATCTTGGAGTGCATTTTTGAGCGACTTTTACCAGCCGACTTGTGCAACATGATAGGTGTTTGTACCTTTTTGAGGGTAATGTGTACTAGTGACCATATATGGGAGAAGCACTTGACGCGAAAATGGGGTAAGCTGATTGGTGAGGCTGCATACCGAAAATGGATCGGCGATGCTGCTTACCGAGCATGGCAGGCTCATGTGGCCTCATGGAATGGTCCAAACTTCCTCTATAATCGGAAAAGGCAAAGGGAATACATGTTAAAATCTCCTCCCGTTGCGCTGCGATTTTCGAGGATTAGGCCTGACCTAGTAGAAAAGAGTTGTGAGGCGAGTTCAGGTACTTTACCAGTTGGTCATGTCATGGCTTTCTATCTTGCTCTTGAGAGTGGGAAGTTCTGGTTCCCAGCCCAGGTCTATTATGGTGGGGTAATAATTATTCTACGATAACTCTAATTACTTGTACAACATTATTCTTTTCTTGTTCAATTACGGTATTAATTATGTTATTAATCATTAACATAATTTTCTAATTAATTCTTTGTGTGGGTGGAAATCAATGAAAATGAAGCCTAATTTGTGTGTTTCTTAATGCAGAATGGTTATACTGGCGTTACGCTTTTATGTTATGATGCTCAGGTTAGCTATGATTACAGCACTGACACCTTTCGGGCAAGGTATGGGCTTGTTGAAATTTACTTCCATAAGCTTTTACTGATTGTGTGGTCAGAAAAGAACACATGTATGTACAGTACTAGAATATAATCTAGATATTATGTCATGTTTTTACGGTTTATCACAATTTCTTGGGTCCAAAAGTACGATTTTTTCCATGTGGGCGCAAAAATTCTCAAAATGTCAAAATAGAACGGCTTGTGTGATCACATGAAAAAATAATGTTGTCGTACTCATACTTCAACCTCGTTTATGTTTCCATTAATCCTTTTTCCTCACCTAGAACGTTATGTCTTTATTTCATTCCTTCCTACTTTAATTCCTTCTTACTCACAATAGCCTACAACATTTTTTTATTCTATCACGATTGTACGATGTCCTTGAACCTCGTCCGCATTGGCCCACCAGATCCGAGCCTGCATATTGACATTACTAGTATAATCGCGTTTTACTGTAGCAAAAAAAAATTAAATATAATTTTTTGTGAGAGCTTTTAACTGTAGCAAAATTAAAATTGAAAACTCGAATTGTTTAGTAAAATGAACGAGACCTTAATTTCTTTGTTGTGAAGCCTCAAAGATCTGTTTCAATACCTTGATATGCCACTTGACTCTTTAGTACCTCAATGGTTGTTCTCATTTGATTAGTTCATCCATTAAGGAGCTTTTCTTGAACTCATGAGACTAAATCATTCTATTAGGTATTGCAGTTATCCAGCTCAAGTATGGGGGAGAAATGAGACAAATATAAAGTGGGATAGGCTAAGGGCGCCACCAGTTGACACTCTTGATCCATTTACGCCTCATGTATCTGATTATTTGCATGACTTAAAACCCGGTGACCATATTGAGATCCAGTGGAAAAGTCATGATAAGTCGCCTTATGGTTTGCTTTCGTAACTCAAACTATAAATATATTTATATTTGAACCTCTAAACTTAATTAATTTCATCAGGGCCCTCATCACATTTGCAATATTGTAGGTTGGTGGTATGCCCTCGTTGGTCACTTGGACCAATGTGATGAGAATGTTAATCATTGTCGTTGTCATTACAGTGGTAAGATACAAATCCTTTTTTTTTTTTTTTTTTTTCCTTTGACATATTCGAGATATGCATGGAATATGTGTTGGACAGCAAGAAATCCTTATAGTATAATATTATATAAGTCCAGTTTTGATGCTTTAAAAAATTTCACTTTTTCAGCTTGCTGATTTAATTTAATCTATTTCTTTTTTTTTAATTTATTATATATGATTGGAATGATATAACAATAAATTGTTTCATTTGATTAATCAATCTTTTTTTTTGTTCTTATTTACCCGCTAATACTTGAAAATTATCCAGCCATTTACAATGGATGCGTATTACTATTTTTTTAATTGCTTATGGGGATGTGTATATCAATTACAATATTCTTTTAAATTGTTTCACTTCTATTGTTTCCTAAAGATGACGTCCTATAACGGGAATCTCTTCATTTTATACACAAGATACTTATATAATCAAATTACTGAGCAAATGATTGTTATAAACTTGTAATTGATCATGGACATTCTGGATCAAGAGATCCAGTTGAGTTGAGGATGGAGATTCGTCTATGATTCTTAAACGAATAGAGTTAAAGGATTGAGTTCTTTACTTACATAGAAAACTTTAAATTTGATATATTTGTGGCCTTGTTTGTTCAAGAAATTGGTTATAAGGGTACAGAGTGGAATGCCTACATAACTCTGGGGAGACAGGGTATTCCTATGTGCTATGGGCCGTTTGGTAACGTTTTTAAAATGATTTTGTTATCAATATAAAAGTAAAATTGAGATTATTTTTAGAATCATTTTGAGGCCGATTTTGAAATTTTCTTTGGTTAGTTTTTTAAGAGATTGTTTTTAGTATAATAGAAAAGTAAAATCGTGTTTGGTTATAATTATTAATTAACATATTATAACATTGTTAATAAGCACTAGGAAATGACAACAGAAAAAGAAAAATAACTTTCAATCGTTTTCTAATTCCTTCACAAAACTCATTCTTACTGTTTTTTGTTTTTATTTTCGTTTTCAAAACATTTGCTAAACAAACACGGTTTACAGACCGTTTTTATTTTTGTGCCTCAAAAGGCATGCAGAAACGTTTTTAAAAACGAGTAAAAATCAATTCCAAATGCACCCTATATTTGTGGTTTGGTTTTTCAATTATTTCTTCCCGTTCTTTTTGAATTGCATCATTTAGTTTCAGCTCGTGTAATATTGATGTTCTTGCATATTTGTTTCTTCAAGTCTGTGTGTTCCATTTCTTCATTATATTCGTCATCTCACAACTACGAGATCTTTGCTAGCAGATACATTAGTAGTGGAGTTCAAGCAATACCCTCCTGGCTCAATATGGAGACGAACGATGCTAAATCGAAAGCACCGTCTCAGAGAAGGGAACGGAGCAGATCGATTATATGGCGGAATTAGAAAGATTTCCGATGAGGAGGAGATTTCCAAGTGGTTGCACTATTTGCCAAATTAGATAAATCATGAAGGGCCAGTTTGGTTCATGTATGCAAAACGTGATTCTTGATTCTAGAGTTTAAAATTTAAATTTTTTGTGAGAAAAAAACACTATGACAAAATTAAGAATTATGATTTGAAAGCAGAAAATAAACGAGCCCGAAGACTAGTGAGGTAGATCGGCAACTCTTGTCCATGACTAGTAGAAAGAATGTAAAGGAAGCCACTACTTTTTTATCTTTAGGTCAGAATGAAGAGTTCATAGTTATATGAAACCTATATCAAGCCCGTAGTTTTCTTGTTCTCAACATTTGAGAATTATCTTTGGAACAAGTTGTTCCCCATATTTTCGGCACGGATTCATCTTTCTAGACTTTAGTCCGTGTATGAAGCTTATATCCAATACTACCAAGTATTCTATTTATGTTGAAGCACGAAGTGTTCAATTATATATTTGGAGAGTTATTTTCTACAAAAAAAAAATATGTTTCCATGTTCTTTCACTCAATTTTTCTATAGCAATTGTTCATAAATACCTACTATTAGTCTTAAAGTCAGGGATGTGAATTGTTTGAGTGAATTTCTCTTCTCATTAAACTATGAAAAATATTACATTCACATAATTAGAAAGAAAAAAAAAAAAAAAAAAAAAAAAGCCCTAGCTACTCATGTTATGCAGAATAAGGAAACTAACTCCTAGATTTTAGGATACACGGATCCTTTTTTGAATTAAAATAAGATAGAGTGTCATATGAATAGAATTAAAAGAATTTTCTTAAATTATTTGAAATAAGAAAAAGAGATCAATGGCTATGATCACACCAACATATGAGATGATCTAAAGGCTAAATTTGATTATGGAACCAATGGCCAAGATTAAGCCAGAGCACCATATGATCCAAGGGTGGAGATTAGTTTTAGAATTAATGGGTAGAATTTATCCACTACATGTTTGATCCAAGGGTTAGAATTTGAGATGAAAAACTATAAATAGGTAGAACATAGCTCATTTAATAAATGTTCATTTCAAGGCACTTAGAGAGAGAAAGTACGAGAGAGAAAGAGGGAGAATAGTGAAGAGGGAGAAAGATAGAGAAAAAGATGTAGAACGAAGAGGAACAAAAATTTTTCTAAACTTTCAGGTACAAATTTTTGTCTTAAGATAATTAAGGATTTATAATGCCGATAATGTGATTAAGAATATGATCTTATGTTTAGTTTGATCATAAGAAGATAATTATCTTGAGGATTAGATTATGAAAATTAAGGAATTTCTCTATAAGGTAATAACTAAATTAGAATTTGAAATTTAGCTTCTGTAAGTGTAAGATGACGATATTTTGAGGATTAAATTACAAGAAGTAAAGAATTTCTATACAAGGCTATAAGGCTAAATTAGAAATTGGAACAGGAATTTCTATATGAGGTCATTAGGCTAAATTAGAAATTTAACTTTTCTAATTAGAAATTCTGCTAGAATTAAGATTAAAGACAAGTTAAGGAGTTTTAAGCAGAAATTCCATCAGGAATAAGATAAAGGGTTTTTACCAAAAGTTAGAAAATATTAAATTTTCTCTAAGTAATTTTGTTATTACAATATCTCATGACACACTATCATAGAAGGCAAGTTATAAGAAATTAGCTTTGAAGCATGCATTTAGCTTTCTTAAAAAATGATGTGTTATGCCTTTTGCCAGCGCAGAATCAGAACTCAGAACCTATTATTTGTGCACAAACAAACCCCTAAAGACGAGGAAATCCCGCCATAACCTATTAGACTGGGAATCCTCATGAGTTAGAACAAAGAAAACATAAGCATATAAGACCACACCGAAGAACTTTCAAAAAAGTAAAAGGTTTCAAAACACGTAAAAACATTCATATGCATGTGAACATAATATTTACTTACTGGGTTTATCTCACAAGGTTTAGCATGTATGGTAGATGAATAGAAGAACTACAGATATAAGAGCGGTCAACGTCAAAGTCAGAAGGGCAAAAGGAAAATTTTGTCAAACTGAAATGCTTAATCTTGATTATGTAACCATATGTATAAATACTGTTATGAAAATGATTCCTTTTTCATGCATATGCCTTTATTTTTTTTTTAAATATATATATATATAAATTATTTTGTATTTTTGCTAAGTTTAGTAGTAGCATTCGTCAAAGTTATCAAGAAATTTATTTTATCAGATTAAAAGTCTTATGTTGTAAGCCTAGTAATTTTGGGGGACGTTACACTCTCTCTCTCTCTAAAATTCGTTTCTAGAGAGAGAAAGCTCAATAAACCACTCAAAACACAGTTTTGTTTCTCAAAATCTCTTTCTTACTCCTTGGTATGATCATCCACCAACATTTAAGTGCTCAAAGAGGATTTTGGAGTCAAAATTCCATGCTAAAGTGGATGCCATTTTGAAATCCGAGAGTTATTTATACTCTTGCAAGTTGTGGTTGTGTTTGGTAAGTTAAATAACTTCCTTTAACAATTTCTCTTCATGGTTGTCTAATTATATAAAATTTTTGTTCTTCTTTCTTGTAAGAATCTTATATATTTTAACCAAATTCTTCAAGTCAAGAATGACTTTTCATCATTAACGGAGCCTAAAATCGTTTGTTCTATAAGGGTGAGTTTCTAAGCTCTTGAAATTTTATTTCAGTTTTCTATTCTTGTTCTGAATATTATAGCTGAATGATCTCTTGCTGGTTGAGTAATATAAACTCTTTAAAAGATGATTGTTCATGAGTTGAGAGTAGGTTTTGAAAATGAGAGTTCGCCGATTGTATTTTTGAATAAATGTTTATAAAATAGTTCTCTGACATGTTTTAAAGAATCATTTCTTCAGAATATATTTTATAAACCTTTCTGTCTCAGCTACTATTTTTCCTTTAAAATAGGCATTCTAAGCTTTAAGTGAATTTAAGAATCACTTAAAACAGATTTTTTAGAATTAGTTATGAATTTTACAATTTCTGGTAAAAATCAGCCAGTTTCCTAACGAAAATTTTAACTTGGATTACGAGCTGATTTTAATTATTTTAATAAATCCAAAACTTAGCATGTAATAGCTCTAAGTAAAGCCCCAGAGTCTACTGTAATTTAGCAGTGTTGGTGTCGTAATTTTAGGACTTACCTATAATTTATTATGAATTTTCTTGTAACAGAGGTCGAATCCAATGTAAAGTCCGCCATTTTCTTTAATGGATAAATGAGGAATTTAAAGAATTAGCATGACGATAATCTTGTTTTATGAGATTTAAGATAAGTAACTAACGTTTCTGCCTAATATTGTTGCAGGTGACAATGACGTGGGATTAATGTGCTCAAGTGTTCATGTCAAATTTATACGTTTAAGTAGAATTTAATTTATGTCATTTTATGATTTTTGCTTGAAGTTAGGTGTCCAAATCAAATTAGTACTAATTTTTATGATTTTATATTTATAATGACCTTTAGTTTTTCATTTATTAAACTAATATTTGATTATAATAATTTAATTAATTGGTACATATATCTATCTATTTATATATATATATATGTATTAAATATTATAGTTTCTATGTTTATTATATTATGTAATTTATATTTATAGGTAGAGTCTCCAGTCTGGTACTGGATTGGAGCGGCACGTGTCTATTTTTTTTAAAAACATATATATTCTCTTCGGCATATGTATATTTCTTCTAAAAACATGTATATATAGGTGTTTAGACAAATTATAAGTGTCTCTCCGCATTATACATATTTTAAAAGGAAATATACATGTGCTGAAAAGGAAATCTACATGTTTTTAAAGAAAATATACATGTGTCGCTCCAATCTGGTATTGGATTGGAGACAATTCCTATATTTATATTATATATAGGTAAAGTCTCCAATCTGGTACCGGATTGGAGCGGCACGTGTATATTTTTTTTAAAAACATGTATATTTTCTCTTCGGCATATGTATATTTCCTCTAAAAATATTTATATAGGTGTTTAGACAAATTATAGGGGTCTCACCACATTATACATGTATTAAGAAAAAATATACATGTACCGTATTTTTAAAAAAAATATACATATATCGCTCTAATCCGATACCGGATATGAGACAATTTCTATATATATTAAAGTGATTTTGGCGTGAAGCCCAAGTCAAAAAGGCTCGGCAACTTATATATATATAAAATTATATATAATATATAAAAATCGGAAGGAATAAAAAAGAGAGAGAGAGTAAATAAAATATGTTCTATTAGATTTTGATTAAAAGTTATATATATATATATATAAGTGTTCCTATGGTTCACATTCAACCCCCAAGATTTTCAGGTTCCTCATATATTTCACCTAGCATGTAATAGCTCTAAGTAAAGCCTTATGAGCTCACTTTTCGCGGATTTTACTTGCAAGTCATTGTGTTTATTTAGGGAATTAGAAAGGACTCCAAGGTATGTATTCTATGTTTTATTGGCTGGGGATTTTCATAAATGATACATGAATTTTATAGATGTCGCTAGAGAGAATTCTAAGGTTTGGTTTGATCGATGATTTCCATGATATGATAAAAGTGTGTTTGAGTGGATTTGAATTCTGAATATGTTTTATTCCATGATGTTAGCGATACATCTAAATTCTAGGGTTTTACGAATTGTCTAGAATTTAATAATGAATTTTGATACAAGGTTGGTTAAGGTCTCTAGAATCAGTGAATCATGTGATCTCCGACTTCTAGAAAGTGTAGAGGGTTGAAATGATTTTATTTTACTGCAATTTTTAGATATGTCATGTATTTATATGTTATACTTATTTGATAATTTTTACGAATTTTAGATTGGAAGCTGTTCACTGGTTTACGCATGCTGACAGATTTTGTAACTTATTTTGTAAAATCCGTTTTCTATGTTAGATGAAAATTTTTTAATCTATAAACATTTGGAGGTAATTATGGATATGTTGGTCATGACTATACGAAATTTCAGCCTCTGATCATGTTTAGATTTTCAATTAAAATTCTTTCGCTATGGTGTGCTC